ACGCGCGCATGACCAATGAGGGCACGAGATAAGTTTGTGCACAGATGGAAGGATGACAGGCAGGTAGGCCATCCAGTTATAGCCGGTCCAGCTAAAATGATTTGTCGTGCTTTTTACAGTACTACTACGGCTTCCACAGATGACATTTTTTTATGTATTTTTTGTCAAAGCACTTTAGATATTCATTGCTATCGGGATGTTAAGAGCATTCCATGGAATATAACAAAAAGTGTATCTCGAGCCGGTTTCTCAAACGTACCTGCACCTTTAATGTGTGCATGTGAAAATGTGTGTCTATGTTTGATTATGTATGTGTGTACACTCACTGGCCACTTTATTAGGTACACCTGTTCTACTGCTCATTAATGCACATAACTAATAAGCCAATCACATGGCAGCAACTCAATGCATCTAGGCATGGAGACATGGTCAAGGACCTGGTGAAGTTCAAACAGAGCATCAGAACGGATAGGAAAGGGGATTTAAGTGACTTTGAACATGGCATGATTGTCGGTGCCAGGCGGCCTGGTCTGAGTATTTCCAAAACTGCTGATCTACTGGGGTTTTCACACACAACCATCACTAGGGTTTACAGAGAATGGTCAGAAAAAGGGGAAATATCCAGTGAGCGGCAGATCTCTGGGAGACAAGGCCTTGTTGATATATATATACATAGTCTATAATGTTATACATAAGAAGATTGACAATAAAGTTGACTTTACTTTGATTTAAGAAAAGGTATCTGCATCTGACCCATAGTATTAGGAACAGTCATAGTTGATTTGATGGTGATATTCAGTATATTATAATCTGATTCTGAAATAGTCAAGTTAAAAGTACACTAATTAATCTGAATTGTAGTACAATGATGTGGTTTACAGTAAAAGCTGACGACTGCATAAACCAGAATGAGTGAGAGTTATTACTGAGTTGTGTTAAGGATGTGACCATGTTTTTACTTATTAACATTATTGAGTTATTTTTAAGTAGAAGAAAGTGATTTGGCATCAACTAGACAGGTTTTAGTGATTAATATCTGCTAGCATCTGTACCTTACACTTTATATTCACTCACATGTTATTTTTGCACAATATTTGAACTACAACAAATAATAATTATAAACTTAAAATAAAATAGAATACAAATAACCATGAGAAACACATTTAAATAAAAAGCAGATAGGAAAAAGATGCATTTGTGTATGTAGTTTGCCAGTTTGGATTACTTCTTAAAAATGTTTTGTCCACTAGGTGTCTCTAGTGTCTCATGTAGCATTTACTGCCAGACATAATGTATTGTTCTAGCACCTTTCATACAATAATTGCAATTCAAAGTGCTTCACTTCTCTTAAAATACTCACAGAAAATATCACATAGAATACAGTTACCAGTAAAAGACATAGAAACAAATTTAAAATAGCATAGAATAGAAATATAAAAAAATTAAAGTTACAACGATAAAATTGTGCATTTAAAGGAGGATAGTGCAAATACAACACACAATCTGAGACCCCAAAACAACAAGGAAATTAAGCCAATTCAACCAGACACAACAGAAAACAGATAAATGAATTATTCCCTTGGGTTTAAGCTTTCAATCTTCGGCACTTTTAGTCCCACACAGATACTGTCCACTAGATGTCTCTCCTGTCACATGGAGCGTTTGCTGCCATAATGAGTTTCTGTTCACAGATAACCACTCTTCTCTAAGAAACACTCTGCTGTGATCTCCTGAAAACGAAGCTACAATAATAGAGTCATTTCTGTCTTAATAAAGGCAGCTGATGGGGGACAGGAAACCGGATGAGAGTATGTTAACGATCCGATCACCACAGCACATACAAACAAAACAATAACATCATAGCCTCGAGGGTCCACTGCAGTGCAGTCACAGCCAAAAGTCCCGACAAGAGACCACAGATGTGACTCACACAAGATGTCCAGGGATATAATTGGACTTCCTGTTTCCAGCTACCCCAACCAGAAACCACAATTTCTTTATAATCCTATGGGATTTACTGTATGTCTATGGCATCCTGTGGTGAGTTTGCTTTGGCTCCATGAAACAACAAGTCTCTTTAACACAATATTGTTTTTAAAATGTATCAGTCATTTTTTGTTTTTGCACAAGCATAAAAACAAAACATTTATTTTACTTTACTAACCTACCATCAGCTACAGTGGCAATGAGTTTGTGCATGTGTGTCTTTAAACACATCTTTCAAAAGCTAGATTTAAAATAACAAATGCAACATATAGAGTTAAAGTTACACTCTAAAATGATTGGTTCAAAACTTTCCAAACTCTCCCATACGTCTCTCATTGCAGTACTATAGTTAGAGCATTTGGGTTATGTATACAGACTAACAATTGTATGGTTGTTCCTGTTTGAACTTATAAATAAAGCATAACATAGAAATACTCAAGCACTATACTAAAGTATTGATTACATTTTCTTGCTACTGATCTGACATTATTGTATATTATATACCTTTACGTTTAAAATGCAAATACTAAATCACTCAAACTTTTACTACAAATGTTCTTACTGTCCACGACTGATTTGACATTATCATATCTAAACTTTGCTTTAAGAAAAGGTCTCTGCACCCAGGGAGCAGTGTAGGAACAATGCTTTGCTCAGGGGCCCCTCTGTCGTTTCACGACTTGAACCGGTCCCCGTGGACTGAGCTACCCCCACCATACGTTGATGCCTTGAGTTCAACCCAAAGGTGTTTTTTCTTTGATTTGGTATTATAATATCTAAATCTGATGTAGTAAAGTTAAAGGTAGCCATCATCCCTTCTGAAATACATGGAATCAGATATAAACAAGCACAACAAATGGGAATTGGCCACTCAAGAAAGTAGTAACATTGTTACTTTAAAAAGTACTTTCCCCTTTCTTTATTAGTAGTAAAGTATAGATATTTCGCACTATACTGTTAAAAGGTTCCTGAGTTGAGGCTTATGAAATTGTGTAGTTTGAAATACTTCAACCTAAAGAACCTACATCAGACGGAGATGTGTTTGTTAATGTGCGTGGGAGGAAACTCCTGCCTTGGGAGACCTCCACATCTTTTTGCATTCTCCCCCCTCCCCCCCCGCCACCTCTCTTCATTTCCTGCGCGGTGCCGGTCCTCCCCCTCTCATTGTAAACACACCCATTGATCCAGTGAGGAGGACTGGGAGCGCAGGAGCCGCACCGCCACACAGGAGCCGATCAGCCGCCTCCAAACAGCTCATCCTCTACTCTAAAGCACGTTCATTTTTACGCTTCCTTTATCTATACTGACATTTCCAGATTTTCTACACACTGTTGCGCGTTATCTGACAGAACCGTCCTCATCCTCCCTGATTATCCGCCAGCAGTTTATCGGAAATTACCAAGGAGTTGTGACTCCCGAGCGCAAGGCGGCATCGTGGCTCTGTCAGAAGTGGCATGTTCGAGGGATACTGCGGACACAAATGAACTCCTGCTTTCACCCAAAGAGGTAAATTGAACAATTACTCACATTTCCCGTTATAGCTTATTATTGTATTGTAACATCCCTTTTTAATAAAGGAAAACTCCGGTTCTGTGGCAGAGAAAGCGCAAAAGAAAGCAGGCTTATGGACAAAAGATTGTTGTTGACATTCCTTTATTAAGACAATATAGCTATCATTTGGTATCGATTGTCTTTATTTTCATGAGATTCCATTTCAGTCCTTTGTGCTCTCTTCGGCATCTCATCCCTGCATGCTCGAGATGTTTTGCATGTGTTGAAGGCGACATCAGGTGTGACACGCTCTTCTTGGTGATGATCAACACTATTTTCTCAGTGCAGACATGGGGCTTTGGTACAAATCTTGCTCAGATGTGTGTGGACACTTGGGCTTGGACTATACATTTGAGATTAGGATTGATGCCGACATGCAGATCAATAGCTGCTGGCTGTGTCCCCATGTTCTGCATCTTGCTTAATTATTTCTTCCCCCTCCAAGTGGCAGATGCACAGATCTGGCCCACATACGCCTTGTGTTTACTTTAGAAGTCTCTCCCACCAATCCCTCTTCCTGCGTCCATGGTTGACTGTGAACACCTGGCAATGATTTTAAACAGACTGCAGCCAGGCCTCAGATAGAGAGACCAGAGGCGGCATGGCTGTTTCTTTTTTAACTAAGTGCTTAGTGAGTGTGCATGTATGTGCTCTGCTGCTCTGTGGGTGTGGATCTGTTTTCTGTGAGGATGACAACTCTCACAGACATCCAGCCAAGCGCTCGCTCTCACACTGATGGCATATTTTCCTCCTCTCAGGGCACGTCGGTGTGAATGCACTCTGTTACTGGGACATAACATAGATAGGGGAGTAACAATACCATTAGCGCTTATTTTTTTATAGATGATAATGATTATAAGTATTGATTTGAGGTCTGCAAACAAATGTAATTGGCATTTAATCAATATTTTCATCATTAATTAGCAATTAATCTTATTTTCTTTAATTAGTTGTTTAATTTTTTTTTGGTCTACAATATTTTCCAATTTAGTGGGTGATGTCTTCACACTACACATTTGTCTGGCAAACACTCCCAAAACATAAAGGTCGTCCGACTCATGATATGAGACAAAGAAAAGCAACACATCCTCATATTTGAGAAGCTGAGAAGAGGATGTGTAGCGCTTTTGGATAATGAAACAATTTTCAGATAAGAAAAAAATATCCAACCTAGTGCCTCGAAGTCTTCTCATATACTTTCCCTCATAGAAGTAATGCAACACGTAATACCATCGTAAATCCACATGTGAACCGAGGTAGGGTGACCAAAATGTTAGGGTATTACTTTTTCAAGATTACAAACTTGAAGATTTGTTTTCTTATTTACGGCATTGGTAAACTTTCATTTCAAGAGGAGATATAAGACTGACAGCCAGTGACAACAGTTAAGCAAAGTTGTCAACAAATGTTTTCCTTGATGGTCCACAAATAATATCAATAATTTTCATTTTGCATTCATCTTCCAGGATTTAACCAAACAATTACGAGATAACAAAATGCCAGAAATAGGGACATAGTAAAGTGAATTTATTTACTTATTTCAAAATCCGAGTCCGAACAATGGACGAACTGGAATACAATATAAACCAGAGTTAAAAAACATTTATGATTTTTTATTCTGAAACTATTCAATGTCCGATCAGATGCTATTGGCATTTATTAAATCATGCCTACAGGAGGGCCGATGCTGTGGACAAGCACATTTATAACAAAGGACCATTCCAATTTAAATTACAAATAAAAGAACACAGGGTTTTCAGGTCCTGCAGGTTTAGTTGTTAATCCAGGCTTTATCCTTTAATATGCAAATAGCATAAATCTCTGCTCTTCTTCTCTTTGTTCAGCTGCACTGCACTCACTGTATGAATGAGTGAGCACGTTCATCCAAGGACAACTTTGTTTGGTGTTAAATAAATGCAAAACACCTTCGGTAATGCAGAAATGTTTTAAATAAATATGAAATCATTGTATTTTCACTATTCCTCCTACAAGCAAAGCATTATCATACTGCATCATTTGATCACATCTGTTGATTTGTCCTCAACTGTTTCACTGGCAGAAGTGAATTGAAGTGTTTATCTGCCAGTAAGATAGTGACCTGACAACTGGAGGTTATTTTGTTAACATGCTAATTATTAGTATCTGCAAAACCTCCTCCAAGTGGTGATTTATTAGGGCCACTTATTCAAATCTAGCCACTTACAACTTACAATTAACAAACATGCATACTGCAGCATCAGTACTCTCTCTCTGTGTGTGTGTGTGTGTGTGTGTGTGTGTGTGTGTGTGTGTGTGTGTGTGTGTGTGTGTGTGTGTGTGTGGGAGGGGATGTTTGCAGGTGTGAGAGCAGGCTAAGGTATTCTCATTATAGCTGAGCCATAGCTGGAATGCAATAACTCCTGTTGAACCAAGGCTGCCGTTGGATTTGTATTTAATCAACTTGTGATAAAGGAAGATCTTGCTCTTATTATTATCATTAAAGTACAGTGTGTTGGATGAACAAAACTTCTAAATGGAATACTTTACATGAGAAATACATTTAACTATGTTTAACATAACTACTGCATGGCTTTAAACTGAATAATGATATTAACGTGAAATTAAAAACCAACATGGAATTATGTTTGTTATGTCATCAAATTAAATAATGTATCAAAAGTAATATGCTATTTTAAACCAAACCATGACCATTTTCTAAACCAAAGCTAGTCATTTTAGTCGTTTTTTTGGTCTTTTTGTTTGGTTGCAATTTAAACCGTTAACCACTTGTTTAAAACTGCGACCATAATGAGATGGAGAATTCGTTTTTTTTTATGGGAATGTAATTAAATGCCTGTCCTAAATGTCAAACTATTCCAAGTAATATTGTTTGAGGCTTTTCAAAACATATTAAAATTGGCTTGTAAAGAATGGTAACACACACACTTTCTTATTATAGCACTTCCATAAGGCTGCAACTAACGATTATTTTCATCATAGAATAATCTGCAAATGAATTACTTATTCCTCAAAAGGTCCAAGGTTGTGTCTTTGAATGTCTTGTTTAATCATTACAAAAAACAATGACATAAATATTAATATGATTAAAGCAGAGAAAATGAGGAAATACTACTTTATAATACTACTAATACTAAATACTATCTGAAGAACTGAAAACTTTATTTTCTGACATTTTCTGAATATTCGATCCTCAAAATACATGGTATTTTTCCTGAGAATGTACTCATGGTTGTAGCTTCATATAGGATTAAAACAAGTTATCTTCTATCCTTGCAAGCTTCCTGACCTGTTTTGAGTGTTTTAAAGGCTTAGATTGGAATGCAATGCAAGTGGTTTAAATACCTTTTGCTAACACAGGTTGTGTTTTCCCTATGACAGCTGTAGCCAAACGGCCAGTCTGGGTTGCAGCTGGTTTTGGAATTTAGTTTAACTGGATTTCGTCATTTCCCAGGAACTTGTAACATAAAAATAACATTTGGTTGAAGATAAAGGATTGAACAACACAGCTCAGCATTGGATTTTCAATTGTTAGTGTGGGTCACACCTGATTGTCTATTCATGAAGCAGCATTCTGAGGACCATGAGCAGATGATGCAATGTAAAGAAAATGGAAACTCTCATTTTTGCAGCGAGGTTGTAGATCACTTATGACATCTGGGAACTTTTGAACTCTTTAAATCTTGAAGTTTTAGTTGACAAAAAACACTTTATGTAAGGTTTAAAATGCCAGAGACACTAGGTGAAACACCTTTAAAAAAGAACCAAGCTGAAATGATTGAAGCTGATAACTATTTGAGAAAACCAGAAACATCTCATGCCGGTTTGGATATGTAAACGACAGATTTTGGAAGTATCATTTTTCTTTAAGTATATATACTTTCAAAGGAAGCAAACTTCTACAACTCCTTAAATCATTTGGAGTGATTTACTAGGTCATTCAGGGACACAGTACCTGTCGAAACATAGTGCCAGACCCTTTTGACAATTCTAGAAACTGGTTCAAATGAATGTGAGTTCTGAGCGAAGACAGGGCAAGGACAGTGAAGATAGGCTGTGACTTTCTGGAGGGGAGTGGAGTCAATTCTGTGCATTACTCAGAGGCTTAAAGGAGTCCCGCTGTCTCCTTCTCTCCTCACTTTATAAAGACCTCTGCAAAGAGAGACTTACTTGTAAATCATGGTTTCTCTAAAAGAAGGGGATTAGTGCTGCTTGGGGTTTGGAGCAGAAAAGCCTCTTGGTAGTGTGAGAAGACAATAGTTATCTACTTGACCTTCATAACTCCCAGGCGTCTGCTGTTGTGCAACTTGTAATCACGGATCTCTTGCTTAATGTATCTCTGGGGAAGGATTGCAATACTCACCAAAAAGGCACATCATCATCATAATATGGATATTACAGTTGCAAAACGCAATATTTCAGCATCAATATCCCAGTGTCATGGCTGAGATTAGGCAATAACACTTCTTCAGTGAATATAGATGGATCCAATATAGAACATCATTTCTCATAACACTATAATGATCCAATTTCCTTCCTTAAACTGTGTCTTGACGGGAACAGGTTTCTATATCATTATTGAAACTTGCTTCCTCGTTACGGGAAACTCAATATCATGGTGCTAAACTCACAAAATGTTCTTCACCAAGCAGATATCATTGATGTGTGTAATTTTACTTAGAGGAGTTTGCTCTTGTTGTCTTACTGACACATCAAAGGCACCCCTTTAGCTGATGTTGAAGGGGGTTGCGCTCTTTGTTCGACTGTCTTTACTTTGAGTCAGTAAGAAGGACCCTATCAGCTTATGATCGTAGCAACTTCAAGATAAAAAACGAAAGATGATTGTGAACTCAACGAGTGAACGAGCACCTACAGTAAAGCCAAGAAATTAATTTGAAACCATTTAATTTACCTCCTGTTTGAAAAGACAAAAACCACATGAACACAAAACTTAACCTGAACCCAATCCTCTACTCAGCAAAACATAGAATAATCTTGTGTAATGGCAGTGTTTCCCACAGAATTTGATTATATTTGTGGGGGCACCACATCTGAATGGACTTTCATTATAAAACGTATTTAAAAAATCTTGTCTTTTCTTTTTCAGGATTCAATGAAAATGTCTGTGTGTGTCCATGAGAACCGGAAATCCCGAGCCAGCACCGGCTCGATGAACATCTACCTGTTCCACAAGTCCTCCTATGCGGACAGTGTGCTGATGCACCTCAACTCTCTGCGGCAGCAGCGGCTCTTCACAGACGTCCTGCTTCATGCGGGGAGCCGCTCTTTCCCATGCCACCGCGCCGTGCTGGCCGCCTGCAGCCGCTACTTTGAGGCCATGTTCAGCGGCGGGCTGAGGGAGAGTCAGGCCAGCGAGGTCGACTTCCGTGACTCCCTTCACCCGGAGGTGTTAGAGCTTCTGCTGGATTACGCCTACTCATCACGTGTGGTCATCAATGAGGAAAACGCAGAGTCTCTACTGGAGGCTGGGGACATGCTGGAGTTTCAGGACATCCGGGATGCCTGCGCTGAATTCCTGGAGAGAAACCTGCACCCGTCTAACTGCCTTGGCATGCTGTTGCTGTCTGACGCCCACCAGTGCATCAAGCTGTCAGAGCTCTCCTGGGGAATGTGCCTCAGCAACTTCCCCACTATTTGCAAGACAGAGGACTTCCTCCAACTGCCCAAAGATATGGTGGTGCAGCTTTTGTCCCATGAGGAGCTAGAGACAGAAGATGAGAGACTGGTCTATGAGGCGGCCCTTAACTGGATCAACTACGACCTGGAAAAGAGGCACTGCCACCTTCCAGAGCTCCTGAGAACGGTCCGCCTGGCCCTGCTGCCCGCCATCTTTCTCATGGAGAACGTTTCTACAGAAGAGCTGATCAACGCCCAGCCTAAGAGCAAGGAGCTGGTGGATGAAGCTATCCGCTGTAAGCTGAAGATCCTGCAGAACGATGGCGTGGTTAACAGCCCTTGTGCCCGACCAAGGAAGACCAGCCATGCCCTCTTTCTTCTGGGAGGGCAGACTTTCATGTGTGACAAGTTGTACCTGGTGGACCAGAAAGCCAAAGAGATCATCCCCAAGTCTGACATCCCCAGCCCCAGGAAGGAGTTCAGCGCCTGCGCCATTGGCTGTAATGTGTACATCAGCGGTGGCAGAGGTTCAGAGAATGGTGTATCCAAAGATGTGTGGGTCTATGACACCGTCCAAGAGGAATGGTCGAAGGCGGCACCCATGCTCATTGCCAGGTTTGGCCATGGCTCTGCGGAGCTGAAACACTGCCTCTACGTGGTGGGAGGCCACACAGCTGCCACCGGCTGCCTTCCAGCCTCTCCATCGGTATCTCTCAAACAGGTGGAGCAGTTCGACCCAGTGGCGAACAAGTGGACAATGGTGGCTCCTTTGAGAGAGGGTGTGAGCAATGCAGCGGTGGTCAGCGTCAAGCTCAAGCTCTTTGCCTTCGGGGGAACCAGCGTCACCCACGACAAGCTGCCCAAGGTGCAGTGCTACGATCCGCAGGAGAACCGATGGTCTGTACCCGCGTCCTGCCCGCAGCCCTGGCGCTACACAGCCGCTGCCGTGCTGGGAAACCAGATCTTCGTCATGGGCGGGGACACAGAGTTCTCTGCATGCTCGGCTTATAAGTTCAGCAGTGACAGCTACCAGTGGACTAAAGTTGGCGACGTGACGGCCAAGCGCATGAGCTGCCAGGCTGTGGCGTCGGGAAATAAACTGTACGTTGTGGGTGGGTACTTTGGCACACAGCGGTGTAAAACTCTGGACTGCTATGACCCCACGCTGGATGCTTGGAACAGCATCACTACTGTGCCATACTCACTCATTCCCACTGCTTTCGTCAGCACCTGGAAGCATCTGCCCGCTTGAGCCCCAAAACCCTCTTCCTACACCCTCTCAATGAGGTAAGTTTGACATCTCACTTTTCTTTGTCTGTTTATAGGTCTTGGGGGGTAAATTTGTCAAAAACAATTGGCATAAAGTTGGGTCTGAAGACTACAAATTTCGAAATGAAAACAATCTAGAGTTTGGAAAATGAGTTTACCAGACTTATGTAGCCCACTTCTCATCTCTGCATGTGGTTAGCCGCTCAAGGCTACTTTTGCCAAGTAAGAAGAATGGGATAAAAGCTCTATTCCTGCAGCCTTTTAAACTGCCCATAGTGAGTCTGTCTTCTATATAATACCAAGGCAGTAACAGTTTGACAGGTTTTTTTCCTTTAGCTAACGGTGCAACATTGATGTGCATTTGCATTCTTAAAGTGTGCACAGTTTTTGTTTGTTAATTAATTACAGCCAAATCAATGGGGTGTTTTTGAGGCAGATTCAAATATAAGTATTCCATATCTTGAATATATACAGCGTATTTATATAATAATAATAATAATAATAATAATAATAATGAATATAAGCAAATATATTGGCATATATTTCATTTTCACACTTCACCCCACATAAACAGAATCAGGTTGGCAGTGATGCTTCTAATCTGGCAGAGACACAGAGATAAATAGGTCAAACATATTTAAAAATGCAATCCATAAAACATTGATGTAGGCTGTATTTGCAAATTTTTCAACATATATGACAATCTGTGATAACCTGCATTGTGTGTTGCTGTTGGGTGTCTCATATTTTCAGAATAAGAGAAACACTGACAGTACGTAAGTGGAGTATTCTCAGAAGAAGCGAGAAAGGAGCTTTAGCGGAGGCAGGGAGGGGGGATTGATGGGGGCTTGTGTGTGTTAGTTAAGTGAGTTATGCTGATGTGGGGATGGGCTGAAGGACAGAGAGGGTAATTGAAAGAGAATAGGATACTTTTATTGCTCCTGTGGGGGAAATCCCTCTAAGAGGGAAATGGGGGTCTACCAATTAGACAAGCCACACACCAGCAGGCTACAACACCCTGGCAAGGGTAATCCACTCTCTCCCGCCTTCCTTTGACGAGGTTATGGTCTTTACGGCGGTGAGAGGGAAGGCAGGCCGGCGACTCATGCAGTGTCGGAAACCATTCATCAGAGGTGACAGAGATGTGGCAGGAAAGGAAGTGAGGAGGGAGAATCGTACACCTCCTCCCCCTCAGCCCTTGTTAGCGGTGGTCTGAACATTTCCTGTGATACTCTAGTGTCTCTTCTGCCTCCATGTATGTCTTCTTTACCTCAATGTAACCCTGCTCTCCTGCTCTGATGATGATCAGGCCAGACGCATGTGGAGCATGGGTAGTCAGCTGGCAAAGCGGGTCGTTCTGCATGCTGCAGGCTCATGATCAAATCACATCAAACTATCGCTACACCCCACACTGTTGCCCCCACACATACCCATGCAGGCAATCTTTCTCAATTTGCTGTATTTATTAAAATGGCTCGGGGCTCTAAGCTCCTGAGAAAGCCAATGAGAGAAGAAGAATGACTCCCCAGCTGTCCAGCAAAGGCACAGTTTCCCATGTGATAATGCCAGGAAGCAGCAGAGCAGCTCCACATACTGTGATGTTCCTCCACTCTCCACAGGATGAAATATTTGTGAAGACTTATTATTCCCTTTCTTTTCAGTGACTCATCTCTGAAAAGGAGAGAGTAGACTGAAGGTTTAAACTATCTCTAAGCCAATGCAACACAGTGCTCAGTGAAGGACATAATCCTGCTACTTATTTAATACTGAATTTGTTTTTGGTGCGCCTGCCTGTCATGGCAACTGACAGTCTCCTCACTGAAGGCGTTGAAAAGACGAAATGTGGAGGAACGGAAAAGAAGGCCGACTGTTTAGGAATGAAAGGGGAAGGAAGTATGTTAGACCTCACAGAAGGAGATTGTAGCTGAGAGAAAGAAGAAGTTCTCTCGGTTTTTCCCAGGGGAACAATCCTAACTTGTCTGAGTTACTTCCTCTTTGGATTTTTTCCCTTTGGAAAGCATTTAGTGGGTTTTGAGAGAATACAATAACGAAGTATTTTTGACTGCCTTCCGTGTTGATAATGCAGTCCTATTTCCGGGGTGACTGAATGTAATTGTAGATATTTGGAGGTTAAAAAACAAAGTACCAGAAACCAAATACATGCCACCACAGTGTCTTTGAGCATCTGAAAAAGCGCTTAGAAATCAAATGTATTATTATTATTATTATTGTTTAAGAGTAAAACTAAAAATGCAATACCAGAATATCCAAAAATGTGTGCACATACAAGAATGTTCACACAGTATTGAGGTCAACAAAAATGATGGAGGTCAATACCATCATGTGATATATCAACATTTAAAGGCCTAGTAACCAAGCAGCTGTATGCCTGAGCCTCGTGTATTGTCCTCTGTTTCTAGGATTCCTTTTCACTTTCAATAATTAAAAAGTTACCTTTTAACTGTTGAGTTAAAGGCGTCATACCCACTTAACAAATGATTCTTTTGTCTCCCTTAGATTTCCCTGTTTTGCATCATTTACTGGACTCCAACTGTGAAGAAGCACACATCCTCTTCCTCTAGAAGAGAAACTAAGCAGTGATGTACAGACACCCGCATTCATCTTGTTGTCGCAGAAGAGGCAGAAACTGGACAATAGCTGGACACTTTCACTGGAATGATGTCGTCCTTCATTTCCGAGAAAGAAGCTGAGGCATACAGTAGCTCGCGTAAACAAAATTCTGCTTGCTACATGAGGCACAAACTACCACCTTGTGTACATATGGCATATCAGACTCCTGCTTCCATGCTGCCATAGAGGACTGCAAACATAACACAGCCTGCATTTCTCCCATTTAGTCATGACAGGCTTGTGCGGATCTGTATTGATGTTTTTCTCCATGATAAAAAAAGAAGAAAAAGAATACTCTATTCATCGAGGCTGCAATGTATAGCATGATGGATGTTCTACTTAGATTGAGGGATGGAGAATGCAATGTTGGTGTGCTGAGGAACTGACTGAATATAGCTGATTTAAAAAAGGCACAATGAAGGAGCAATTCTCCCCCTTTCTCTCCTCTAATAAGCTCTTTTGTTTGACCCTTGTTTTTTTCCTTCTTTCAGAGACGTTTCTTTTAACAGCTCTGACACACAAAAGAAAACCTTTAAGTGTTCCTCTCATGAAGGCTTTGGCCGTTTGCTGTCACTTGCAAGCCGCGAGGTGTTGACGACCAACACCAGCTGAAGTTGAGGAGGATGAAGGGGATCTGTGGAGAGGTGCTTGGGGTTGCGACCTTACATGTTTGCTGTTTTGCAGCGAAGCATTAACGCCCGCTGAGTGCCGGTTAACCAACCCACTGTACACAGAGGCGGTATTCATAAAGAAAACTGTCACATTCAGCTGTACACTTAACGCAGCTTCTGTTATTCTGATAAAAAGCAGTTGCTCGTCTGCTGAGTCACCGCTTAACCTTCCTACAGCATGTCCACTCATAGTGATTCAGTAACTCTGGCATGAACCCTTCTCTTGTCACAGAAATATTGTCACCTTAAACTGAACTGAGAATTAATCAGTTTCTTTTTTTTAAAACCTCGCTGCAATGTAGTCTTAATTTATATGACAATGATGATTACTCTTTTATTTTAATATGTTTGATCCTATTTATTTCTTCTCTGCCTGCATTCTTATGTGAATGTATGTTCGGCTTGCGTCATGCATGGCCAGGTGTTGTGTTTTATTTGATCTCAGTCGGGCTGCATTTTGCACAATTCATTCTTTACCAGGAGGAACTTGTTTTTTAAAAAGTTAAAAGAGTGTGGAAGAGGAAGAATGGCTAGGATTACTGATGGGGTGAATCAGTTTAGGCTGCTGCCCACATAGGAAGACTGAACGGGTTGAAATATTCTCCCTTTTGATAGGTTCTTTTTAAGCTCACTATTGGGTCCTAGCCTGTCTTAAATTGTGCCGTCGGGGGGCCAAACAGTACCAACAAATCAAGAAAGTATCAAACCTGGAGAAAGTGCAGTATGTGACCTTGTAACTAACCCTGACATGGTTCAGAGTGGGACATTCCTCCAGCTGTCTCAAGGACAACTGGAGGACTGTCACATGTGTTAACTTAACTCATCGGGGTGTAAACCCAGTCTTCTTCACCATTAGGTTGAGAAAGAGTTGAATCCATTAAGCTGTGCATTGATAAAGGCAGACACCGCAGTGCTTTTCGCCATAGTGTTAATAATGCACATTGAAAAAATATGAAAAAAACAACATTGCAAGTTCCTAAAGACCAAAAAGAGAGAATGTCTTAAACACTTGCATAACACTTGTAACTCAAATCAGTGTTTTCTGTGTGTATGTCTTTCTATAACTGCCTGAACCTTTGGTGTTTTACATTTGAATATTAATGGGATCATTGAATTCAATGTAAGAGGTTATGTTTTGGTGGAATATGTATACATTTTTTTCGTCCTTCCTCGTGGATTCATGACAAAAATGTTATCTGTGGGAAAACAGCTCTATAAATTCCTGCTCTGTTCCTGAAGCCACCCAAAAGATGTTTTCCTTTTATTGGCAATTTCAGGACTTCTTTGGAGACCCTTGGGGCTTCATAATGTTGACCACCTCAAACCACTGAGCACAGGATCTCTGGCCCCACCAATCAGAGGAGCATTGCTTTCCCATAGAGCGCAAGTTTCCCTAGCAACAGCGAGCAATGAATGCCCCCTCAATTTGCACCTAATTGCCGAGTGGCACTTCCCATTTCTACTCTTGTCCTCCGCTTATCCTCGGATTTATCTGGAAATCCAGCTGGCTCAGATTGGAGCGCAGTGTCCCGCTTTGCATAATGATGTAAAATTAGACAGAACTGACTGTCAATGTGTATCAGTTTCATTTTCTTTGTCATGTGTTTAATTTCAATTTTTTTATGGCATTATTTTGTACATTTTTTCACAATGTGAAATTCATGGCTAATAAACATAAGAGTTTTTTTCTCTTGACTGTAAAGCATTGTGTCTTTGTCTTCAGTATGGATATAATTTATGTTTAAAAGGAAAAAGCAGCGTGAACACAGCATAAGGTGCGCTCTCATTACTGCATGTTTCACATATTCAGGCAGCTTTGGAGTGAAAGCAGCAGCCAGGGTGTCCTGAGGTATTTAAGGCAGTATATCATGCGTACAGCTTTTGTTCTGTGGAGGAGGGACTGAAATCATCTTATCAGTGCCTCTGGCTTCTAAGCTTCCTGCACAAGAACAGGCGAAACACAGCCAGATACTTTTCCTTTCTCTGGCAAGTCACCTTGGCAACGGCAGCCTTTATCTGCAAACTGTGGGGGCTGGAGGAGAACACGACCTCTCAAAAAGCACCTCTCTCCTTTTCGCCCTCCCTGACCTGCCTCCCCTTTAACTGCCCTACACCCCCTCTCACACTTTCATCAGTGAAATACATCGCAGAGTGGTTCCCAATGGAGGAAAGTAACTAAGTACATTTACACAAGTATTGTACTTAAGTACCTCTTTGACATATTTGTACTTTACTTGAGTATTTCCATTTAATGCTACTTTATACTTTCACTTGGCTACACTTCAGAGGCAAATATTGTACTCCACAACATTTATTTGAACACTACTCTCTACATATAAAAACACATGATATGCTGATGTGGTATAATGCAGTACTATACACGGTGTTTCAGGTATCTACATTTGGTCCACATTGACAATACAAAAATACTCTATACTTTAAAAAAAAAACAGGATAATATAATAACCATAATAATATAAAACTGTGAAAGGAGCCATTCTGCATAACGAGTACTTTTACTTTTGATACTCCAGAATTGTATGAGGTGAAGTTCGATTTTCAGGAGGACTAAAGTTTTTTACAATGACTTCATTTTTCCATGTGTTTCAACAATAGTAGGTTTTATAAAGTAAAGACGGTGTCTACCGGGTAAAGTTCTTATTATATTTTATGCCCTACCGGCCGATTTTTA